GATTGAATGGTAATTTATAATCAGTCACAAGAACGTCGAATCTGAATCACTTGAAAAAAACACGGGGGTGCTTAACTTTTTTCCAGGTGTGTGTGTGTATATATATATTAATGATTATCTACATAACCCTATTCAAATTAACTTATAACTTGGTGCAGTATATCTTACCTTACATATCACTACCTTCATCAATATCTTAAGTTTGTTCAGTTGATAATAATATCAGGCCATTCTAAAGAATGTGTTTTGTTGATATTTTATTTGAAATTCAGAGTGATATATTAGGATTTACTACTAACAAAGTTAGGCTTGTGATCTTATTATACCACTGAAATTAGTGTTTCATTTTCTGTCCCTGATGATAACGATAGAGGCTTTTCCACAGAAAATCCAAGGAATGCCAAAGTACATGGAACAGTTATCAGTAGGAAGATTCATCTGGTGCAAAGATCTGTGAAAACTGACTTGGGATCGGAAGTACAAGGCAAGACCTCATCTGGTATGTGCGAATGAGTAGATATAATGTTTTCTTTGGTTTAACACCCATAATCTTTGTTTTCTTACATCAAAATATTCTTAAAGGGAGGTAAAAGAACTAAAACAGACAGATATTTTAGTAGTGAGTTTAATGCCCTCTCTTCCAGTGGCTCTTTGGTAAATTGTGATACTTGTGGTGGGCACAACACAGAGCCCATTGTGTGGCTTTGTACTTAACAAAAAATAGATAAAAGCAAGTTTAATTTTTGTATGTATTTTAGATAAACAATTTGTTTAGACAATTTTAAGCTGTGATTTCCATAGTTGAATGAAAGGAAATTTTTTCTGCTTTCTATGTATCTCCTTTTCTTGAAACCACAATGTTGCAAAATTGTTCAGTTGTTTTAAAAATCACATTAGGCAGTCTTTTAGCATCTTCACTTGAGCTGTAAGCATGGAAAAACAGTTCAAGTCCATTGAGATATATAGTACAAAAGAAATAAGACTTGATGTTTAAGTGTCATCTAGTAGTTCAAATTTTATATTAAAAATAATTCTGTCCCTAAAAGGTGAATTTTAAAAATGGCATCAGTAGTTGTGATATTTCTTTCACAATCATATTTTTGTGACTTTTTTTCAGTATGTGTATACTATGTAACTGTCATAATGTCCTTGCTTTATCAATGAAATTTTACTGTGTTTTTTTACAAAGGAGTCATCACTTCTCTGAGTGACATTGTAAATAGTCCCAAGCCAAGTTCTCATGCTGCTATTGTGAGTCAAGGTAGTAAAACCAGTGATTTGAGTCAAGCAAGGTACTCACTCTACAAGGCTCTTGTTCCTGCTAAGGTAAGAACCCAACAAACAGGTATCTTTATTTAAAGTCAATGTGTGACTGATAACAAGAAAGAAAATTTTATATTAAATAACATGGCAACTTATTGTATTAAAAGAATTATATGTATGAGCAATTCATTTAGAAATGTCTAACTTCAGTATTCAAATTTTTTTAACAAAAACAGCTGTTGAAACAAATCCTTCATTACTTTTTAGATGTTTGGGCTTCACCTATAGCAGCTAAATAAAGTTCTTTTATGAAAGGTGATTGGTATATATATATATATATATGTTTACATTTAAGCTCTAATCAAATGTTGAAGAAAAATGATTGCAAGAGTATTTGTGTGACAGTTCACAAGTTGTGAATATATGATTTTTTGGGGACTTGTTTTATACATCTTATGTATGTATTGGAAAGTAATTTTTCACAAATAAGTTACAAAAGTTAACATTCATAGTATATTTGTTTTAAAAGTAAAAACAATTAGGACATTTTACTAAAGATTTTCTTTAAAAAATGTAAGAAAACAAATACAGTTGTCTTAGTACTTGACATTGATGTATCATTCAATAAGTAGGTTGAATCTGAAAAAAATATTTACTGGTGTATTTAAGTGTTTTACACTCACAAAAACGAAACCTATCATTCTATAGTTATTTGAAGAACTTGTAGCATTCCGTCATAGTTTAATTCTTCATATTGTTAGCCAACACTAGGCAGGTGATACATAATTGAATAAGGTTGTTTAATGTTAAAACAACCTTATTCAAAAATATTTACTACTACTATAAGGAATGTCTTAATGATCTAAATAAAACAAAAAAACTAAATGTAGTGCTAATTGTCTCTCAACTCAACAGAATTCTTAGCTGAACAGTGCTTTTATAATTGGTAAATGATGCTTTATGAGAAATAAATATTTTCAGTTGATCATACATGTGAACATTCTGTGACATGTTTTTGAAATGTTTGAACTTGTTATTTAGCAAAGTTCACAGATGAAGAAACCAATTGGAGAAGGTGTGATACTGTCATCAAAAGTAAGTTGTGTTATAGAAGGTGTGGTATTGTCATCAAAAGTAAGTTGTGTTATAGAAGGTGTGGTATTGTCATCAAAAGTAGTTGTGTTATAGAAGGTGTGGTATTGTCATCAAAAGTGAGTTGTGTTATTGTAATAAAAAGTGAGTTGTGGTATAGAAGGTGTGATACCGTCAACAAAAGTGAGTTGTGGTATAGAAGGTGTGATACCGTCATCAAAAGTGAGTTGTGGTATAGAAGGTGTGATATTGTCATCAAAAGTGAGTTCTGATAGTTATAGAAGGTGTGATGCAAAAAAATAATTGTGTAAGATATGCAAATGAGCTTAATTTTTAGTGCTTTTAATTTACCTGAGTTAAAAACGTTTGTCACTAAAGCATTTGATTGCTTAGACATTCTTCTCATAATCATTAAGTTAAACCAGACATATAATTAACATTTACATACAAATACACTGGTGGTGTGGAATAGACAATTTTTAAATATCTGAAAAGAAGCATGGGAAGGTATTTATGGTTTATTTCAATATCAAATTATGGTGCTCACATTAAGGTTGTGGAGATCATATACCAGTTGCTCTCATAATTATTAGCCTATACGATCACCTAGATCTGATTATTGATCAGTTACTTTTTTTTGCTATATACTAATTACTTATTAGCTTGTCTTACATTTCAACTACTAATCTGCTGTTGTATTCAAGGAAGAATTTGTTTTTGATTATACTGGCTGGGATTCGATATTGCCCTACAATTGAACTACTCATAACTGTACATGACCTGGTCATCTGGCACACGTGTACATAAGGTTGAAAATACTAATTCTAGTTACGCTGGGTGGCTGAAGCTATTATAAAATTAAATTAAAGAAACATTGTGTTTTGTTAGACAGAAACATAAATCAAAGTTAATAAAATTAGACAAGCTTTTAATGTTTAAAAAATTACAGAACTAAATTGTTCTGTAATCTTTAAGCTTGAGTGGAAACTCTCTAGAATGAACAATGTCAAGATATTTTGTAAAATGGGACAAGTTAGTCTTTGATGTTATTGTATGTGCTTTAGATTGACCACTTGAAATATCTGTGAAATTTAGATAATTTATTTCTTGTATAGTTACCGAACATTACTGTATTATATTGGAATACAAATTTATTGATGAGAAGATGGTTTAAATTTATTTCTCTCTGTTTCACTTGCTAGTCTTAACAAGAAAAGATTAAATGGTAGTAGTATTTAAGTTGGATGGTTTAGTTTTTAAAAAGTTGCTTTTTTGTTTTTTTTAATTAGGAAACAATGACCAATGGATTTGGAATTACCAGACTGAACAGTGCCACAGCTTCTCAGCCATTGTCAAGCTCCTCAAGTCGATCTGTAATTTGACTCTCTCTCTCTGGAATTAGAATTTCAACATTTGCTTTTAATTATTTTTTTTTCAGGTTTTATAAAATTAAAGTATTTTCTTTTCTCTAATGTTAACTTGTTTGCATACCACAATTTACATTGATATAACTTAATTTTTTTAAAATTTAAGTGTTATGTAAACACAAGATTTTAATTTTAAAATGTTGCCAATTTTATTCAACAAAACTTATGTGCACTTGCAAAACAGTGATAAACTTGAAAGTCATTTAATACAGCATTAATTATGAGTGTACGTATAATTGAAATTAAAGATGAGTTAGTACTACTGCAGTTTTATTTTTAAATCATTTAAATAACCTATAACAGTAAGTATAATGTAGACTCAAGAAAGTCTGTAAATTACCACTTACAATAGAAATAGGCTATTTTTCTATTTACTTAGTTAAATGTTTTTATAAAATGTAAAAACTCGCATTATACCCCTTTTGACTACATTTAATGTGTAAGTAGTGCAAACTTTTTATTTATTGTCACAGTTAACTCTCTCACTATAAGCTCGGTTGATTCAACCTAAATTAGAATTTCTAATGAAGTATTTTCACTAAAAATTTCTCCATGAAAATATGGAGTCAGTGACTGCTCTGAGTGCAAAGGGATTTTCATGTTAAGATTAAAAATACATTTTTTCATCTGAATAACCATTAAATTTCATTTGCTTATTCTCTAAATTCTTTTAACTAAATTTCACTTTTTTGTGTGTAAAACTTTATATTTTATCTGTTATTTTCTCTACCCTAACTCTCTACAAGGTTGATTAATTTGACCGACCTCATAACCCTAATAAAAAATCTGAAATAAATCTAAATTACTCTTTGTCTCTTTCTAGAATGACTTCAAATTGGAACTACATTTCTTTATCCTAAATAGCTTAAAACTTGTAACAATATACATCTGTTTCTACTTAAATTTTATTGTTTTATTGCCTTTGAACCATGTCTAACTAATATTGTCACCACACATTTGGCAAATGTGTAGCTCACTTTACTTTATCAAATTATGTAATGCATGGGCTACTTGCCAGTTGCTTATGAGTGTACTTTGTGAAATATTTTTATTATTATTTTTCTTTATTTTACCCAATCTAACCTAAAAAGTTTCTAATTTTTACATTTTAGTTACTTTTATAATAATAAATAAAACAATGTAATATAATGCATCATTTGAGAGACTAAAACTTTGACTTTCAATTTGTTATAAATAATATAGTATTAAATATCAGAGAACTATTGGTAATTTGTGAAAGAGAGGATGTGACAGGTGGGCATAGTAAGAGGTGTCTGACTTTTTAGTTTATGGCTCTGTAACCAAATAAAAGTGAAGGCTATAAAAATTATGCTTTACCAGAGCATTGATAACATTAAAATAAGTAATTTACGTTAAATTTCATACTTCTTCGAGGGGGTGGTAAATAAGTTAGGGAAGAGGGAATACCTAGAGAGCAAATGTCACAATTATCATAGTAGGGGAATTGAGGATTTTTTTTTTAATATTGCCTTATAAAATTAAGAACTTAAAACTTGTATAACACTAACATGTGTATTATTAGCTATATTTTTATCCCAAGTTTATTCATATACCATGATAAGAAAGTAATTAAATTTTGAATGTAACTCAATAGAACTTCATAATGGGCAGAAAAGGATGCCCATAGCAAGAGGGTTAATATAAATTGTGCAACATTGTTAAGAATATAATGAGTCAAAATATTGTCAGTTAGTCATTTTCTGGTGTGAAGGTGATTGTCGTTTTTATATATGTATATAACAATGCATGTAAAACTAGCATTCATAACTATGAAATATTTAAGCATTAGGATATTAGAAATAGAAGTGTTTTTTCTTTTAATAATAAGTTATTACAAATGTATGACCCTGAAATATAAACGGCTAGAGGACATCATTATTTACCTTACCTAGAAATCCATCCCAACTCCTCCACCACACATGGAAATCCTCATCAAGAATCCTAAAGCACGAGGAAACAAAAGTGATTTTCTGAAGGGCCTACAGAGTGAAATTAATGAATTAGATCAAAAAGATGATAATTACCAGAAAAGACTCGGTGGAAGTAAGACTGATGAGAATGAACTCTCACAGGTATTTAAAGCCCCATGAAAATTTTCTCTGTAAATGCTTTTCTCATGGTTTTGTGAAATTGAAAAAAACATTATTTAATTCTCTGAAACTGCTACAGATTCACGTAGTATTTACCCTATTACAACAGGTTTATGTATTTTACACGTCCTTTTGTATACATACTATGAGTCTGAAAGAGCTTATTACATTTTCAAGAAATTTGGTAAGCTTTCAGTAAACATTAAGTCTTTTGTAGACAAAAAAATCAGAAATTTTAAAGTATTTTTGCCAAAAATTTGTCTGTAATTATATGGTGTCAGACTGTTGACTGCTTCGATTGCAAAGTGATTTTCATCTTAAGATTAAAAATACTTTTCTACACAAGAAAATTTTAAAATTTCATTTGAGTAATCACATCCCTCCATATGAATATCAAAATTTGTTTTTGTTTTGTATTTAAAAAAAAATTTACAAGTTATCTGTAATTTTTCAATACTATAAATATACAGGATCAGTCAGTTTGACCTCGTAACCACCTTAAAAAAATTGGGAAATAATTCCAAATTACCCTTTTTTCTCTTTGCAAATTGTAACAAAAAAACCACAATTGTTTATCCTAGATTATCTTTAAGCTTGTAACAGTATACATCTGTTTATACTTAATTTTATTGTTTTATTGCCTATTCAACCACGTCTAACTAATAACCTTGTCACACAAGTTGTATATCACTCGGTGAACCCTATAGAATTGCATAATGCACAAGCTACTTGCAAGCATACCTCATGAAGAATTTTTATTATTAAATGAGTGAATCATAGAATGGCTCAGAGTTTTTTTCATGTACAAACTTTTAGTCATCTCTTGACCAATTTGAGATCTAATTACAGTATTTGACTCAGGAGATCAAACCCTTTTGATTGATGTATTTGATTTTACCTAAGGTCTGGTAGATTAATTTATTCTAATCCTGCCTGAAAGAATTTCAATTTGATGGTAGGCTGGTAGAGATTCTGATGTGTTATAAAATTGACTCGGGTATAAGTGTGCCCCATGCTTGGTGTTGCTGGTGCACAAAAATATAGCTAATAAAAAGGGGAAAAAAGTCTCATAGATTTACTCTAATCCTGCCTAAAAGAATTTTAAATGCCACAGCTATTGTGGATTACCTTTTGTTATTCTTTATCTTTCTGGTTTTTACAGTTTGGTTACTTTTGTAATAATAAATAAAGAATACACTTGTAGAACAAGAAATAAAGTACTTACCTGGGTCTTCTTTTTCTTTGCTGTCGATGTAACTTAAGCCTACTTTTTATAGTAATGATACTATTACACTAAATGTTTTATTTAATTGACTACTGCAGACAATTTTTTTAGAGGTATGTTAAGGACATTGGGTATTGCACACCTGTAGCGAACATCATGAAACTAAAGACCAAGATAAGGGATGGCATCACCACTGTAGCTGTGGACATGTGTTGCAGTGAACATGGACTGAAATTGAATATTGGTTAGACATGCTGGAAGCCATTAATGGTGCACACATACAAGTCTACTGACATGTCAGTAAAAACTGAGTTGGGCTACAAGATGTTGAAAACTGCATGATTGTGTTTCTTTAGTTATCTAATGCTAAATATTAAAACAGGAATGATAATTTTGAACCACCCTGTGTTATATGTATCTCACTCAAACTGTGATTATGCCAAAGCTGGTCAAGCTGTAACTAACAATTACTTTAACCAAAATTATGGATTTTCCCTTCATACTTGCTGGTTGCCTTTGATTAAAAAAAACAAACAATGCATTGACTCTAATGCTGTTATTAAAGTAACCTAATTTTATTATTATTTTTAGTTGTTCTTGATCTCACTTTATTTTTACTGTTGATTTTATCTTTTAACATAAAAAACCACAATAATAGTATTGCTTGCTATGTTTTTTGACCTTGTAACATTATTTTATTTCAGCTTATTAGGCTTCATGCTTTTTTTGCAAAGAAACTTCTTGTTTTCTCATTACACTACAACTTGTGATTTGATTTTGTTCCATTAGATCCTATTGTTTATTAAATGTCTTGCATATGTAGAAGACTTAGGTAATTGAGCTGAAAGCTTGTGCATTAAAAAAAACTACAAAAACTTTAAAAGAATGTGGTGATAGTCCAAATAAATTAATTAATACTAACAATTACTTGATTTTTATGGCCTTATTTACAGTGAATGAAGAAGTGCTGGTTCAGTGTTTTTATTGACTGCAATAACTTTTTGTTTTTGAAAATGAAACTTTGTAAGTAGGGTGGCTGAGAGTGTTCATTTTGCCCTGGGAAAGAATTGGTATGGGTTTTGTATGGGTGCAAATCATGAACCAGCTGTGTCTGTATTATTAGTCTGCTGTTGTATAGATTAGTGCTTAGAAGGGTTTCAGTTGATGTTAATAAGTTACATAGAATTATTAAATGCTTATTTGATACATACTTCAATTTGAATAAATTGTTTAATAATAATGAGCTTCTTGCCACATTATTCTGGCATGTCCTTATTGATTTTTTTTTACATTGCATGTTTTTATAAGTGTAATGGTAATAAGTACAAGACAGAAAAACTTTTGTAAAAAATAAATAAAAAAGAGGTAGATCAATCTTTAAAACAACATGTAAATGCTCAAAAAATATGTAATTTACCAGTTCATAATAAGGCTAAAATCTCGCTGTTGGCTTGTGTTGTAGAACAATAATCAGTTTATACTTTAAGCAAATTTTGCTCAAGTATTAATAGTTAAATGTAAATTGTCATTTTTTAAATGGTTCTATTACCTCTTACTGTAATTTAACATAAAACATTTCATTTCCCAGCTTTATTTCTCCTATTAGAAACTACTAAATATTCCTAAGTACAATTTTACCAGACTAAGGCTTCTCTAATTTATAGGCCAATCACCAAAGAATTTGAGACTTTCTTGACATTTGTTTGATAAGCCTATTTTCTAGACTTCAACATTTAAGAATTTTTTTCCCTATATGCTTCAGTCTTCCAGGCATTTACTGTCAAATTGTGATAAGAAAAATGAAAGTTCTCTTTATAATTGGCTTAGATTGTAAGGTTAATTTTAACAATATTTAAATGAACACTTAATACACATTTCTATGCTTGCTATTATTTTTCTCATTTCTTATAAGTTAGAATACTGCTATTTAAAGTGTGTTGCAAAAAAATGGGGTTATTTTATTACTTATTACACCTGTTAGTTTGCTAAAAAAAAAGTTCACTTTTAGAACCTTCTTCATGAATTTTAACAAGTTTGTCATTGTTTGTGTTAATTTGAACATATTTTTCAATGTTTATTTGTATACATTTTAATTGTTTTTGTTTGTTAATTTGAATATATTTTAATGTTTGGGTTGATTTGAACACATTTTTCAGTGTATGTGTTAGTTTGAACTGTTTTTTATGTTTGGGTTGATTTGAACACATTTTTCAGTGTATGTGTTAGTTTGAACTGTTTTTTATGTTTGTGTTAATTTCAACATGTTTTTAGTGTTTATTTGTGTTAGTTTGAACTGTTTTTTTTATGTTTGTGTTAATTTCAACATGTTTTTCAGTGTTCATGTATGTTAGTTTGAACTGCTTTTTAAATGGTTATATGTGTTAATTGTGTTGCAGCTTAATGATGACATTGACAGAGAACATTGTGTGAATGGAATTAATATTGAAAAGATTTCAATCAAAGATGAAGAAGAATCTGAAGATACCAATATGCTTTCAAGTTCCCTTGAAGCTGAAGAAAGGTAGTGTATGCTTATTTGTTAAAGGAAGATGTTTATTTTTAGCATCTGTAAAATTTTGCATCTTGTAAAAGTGTTAACAATATTGCAGTGTTTAGTTAATTACTACTGATGTATCTTCTTAAGTGCTGGTAGATTATTTACTATACGTAGAGCAGTAATGTATCAGTAGTATATGCATTGAAAGAACAATTTAATGTAGCTCAATTACATTTTGACAAAAACATTTTATGAAAGTGAATTGATATAATTTTCATTTAGCCTTTTACAAGATGTTGTTTAGCAGGTATATTTTATTAAGTTCCCTTGGCCACTTTTGATGTTTGATAGGTGGCTTAAAACTTCATTAAGGAGAGCAGAGTACAGAGGAAATTTCTGTATGCCTCAAGACTGCCAATTTTGGTTAAAAGATAGTTGAAAACATCTTAGTTTGAAAGAAAACCATAAAACCTGAATTCTAGTGTACAATAAAAACAATAAAAGCACAATTAAAGTAAAGCCTTTATGGGATTATTATATATATATATATATATATATAAAACATATTTTTATCTACCCATATATATAAAAGAAGAGAAATGTGAAACAATACTGATCAGTGAGGGTTAAAAACAACAGTAGAACAGTTGTAATTTATTTGACTAATATCAATGATTTATCATTCTGTTGAAGAAACTGAAATTATGTAAAATGCTGGTGATATAATTAGATTCACAGGACAGCTTTTTACTACAGTAAAATGGACAATGACAGTTTGAAACACAAGTTTTCATCTGTCACAAAGATAGTCCATGTTTCATTATGTTTGCTTGCATCAAGAAAACACATTTATCAGTGAACACCCACAATGTTTAACACAACTGGTCTTGTTAATCCCAGAAATCATTCTTAATGATGTGTTTTATATACATAATGTCAATTTGAGAGTATTTGATGTATTTACAAACTTCATCTTCTGGTTCATTTTTGAGAGAAGAGTCAGCTTTCATAATGAAATAACACAGGTTTTCTGGTGCTCTAGAAATATGGTAAAGAAACTGTACACCAGGTATACCTCTCAAAAGGTAAATAAGGAGATGTTTACAGATCTAGCATTAAAAAAAATGATCACACAGAATTATGTAAAACTACCTAAGTCTGTGTACGTGCTAAGCTGTTTTGACTGACTATGAAACTGTACCTACTGTAACTGAATGTACAAATATTTTTTAGGAAAGTATCTTTACTAAAGATTTGTCTGTAAATTTATAAAGCTGTTACTGAGTCACTCTAAGTGAAAGGTGCAATCATTATTGTACGTTAAAATGAAAAATGGAGAAATATGAATTTTTTTTATAATAGACAAATTACACTTATTTATTATAACTTCTAACATCTTTACATCTGCTTTAATTTACTTTTATGGTTTTTATTGTACTTTATTTTATTGTGAAAAACATTTAATTCAGCAGGAGTGCATAGGGAAAATAAACATCATGTTGCATCACACAATCTCATGCCACGAGCCAAGTGATCACCAGAAATATTCATAATTTTTTAATATAACAGTATGACAGCAGCTTATGTAATCAAGCAATAATCCTAAACTTTACAACATGATGAAAGCCCTCATTTTTTTAAATATTTTTATTTATTCTAATGGGGCAGAAAACGTTTTTGATTCTCACACTTATATGTATCGTAACCAAATCATTTGTTTAAGCAAGAATAGTAAAACTGTATTAATAAAACTCGTACCTTTTATAAGAAATCAGGATAATCCACTTACTTCTACAGGCACAAGCTTACAGAATGAATCAAACAGTTATGCAATTTTTCAATGCATCCCCTCCCCCTTTTCTTTATTAAAGGCTTACCTGTGTAATGGTTTGTGATCTCAAAGGTATGCACAAAGATGTGAGTGAGCTTATGGACAAATGAAATTATTTTCCTCAGCTCTGCATCTATCACTATAAGAATCAAACTTTTAAAATAATATTAATGGGATAATTTTATAGTAAATAAATTTGCACATATGTGTAAATTGTCATTCAATTTTCCCCATGTAATACACAAATAAATATTTGTGAAATATACATTATTATTAAAATAAATTGTGATGGATTTTTTTTCTTAATGTGGGTTATTCAGTTGGAGGGTTATGTATTTGATGGCTTTCATAAGATCCAAAAAGGTAAATCATGTTTGCTTGCATACCTTTGTTATCCTATTTATGGTTAATATTTCCCACTACAAGTCATAAAAATAACTTTTCTGGTTGTTTTATTTGAGTTTCTTTTATCAACCACAACAGATCTTAAAGTTTTTGCTTAGAATAATTGATTTAATTTTTCAAAGGTGTTGTAGCTGGAATTAATACAAGCATTGGAAAAAATTGAGTCATTTATCCATTTTATTTTTTATATTTAATACACTAAGGATAGAGAAATATATTCCTTTAAACATATAATTGTTTCAGAAAAAAAAAGTTGTTCATTTGTCATCCTATTTTCTAATATATAACTGATATTCTAACTTTCTTTAAACTTATTAATGAAAGACTTCTTCGAGAAATGGGTTGGAAAGAAGAGTGTTTAGATGATGATGATTATGCACCTCTTACAGAAGAAGAACTGCAAGAGTTTCACAACTTAACGCAGAAGGTAATTTGGTCATACATATGTATACAGTTGTGTGTGTGACATGGAACATAAAGTACTTACTTTTAAACTTCTTTTTTAGTTTGAATAATCAACCTTGCTACATACTGATTAAGTAAATATGATTAGTGTTGCCACCATCAGTTTTTCTTTCTCTGTATTAGTCTGTATAATTCTAAGAAAACAAAACTAAAAAAACAACAACATTGATTACTGAAAAGCAAAGAATCTTTATTTCCTATAACTTATTTGAGGCTCTAGGTGTTTCACTTAAAATAGCTATATGAATACATTTACAAAGCTATTTTAAGTGAA